ATATGCTGGTTCTTTTTGTATTAAGTAAGAGAGGCCAAATACTTAATAAAATTTTGAGATATTAGCTGTAGAACGTTTCTATACTTTAGCTAGAATATCTTGTTAAAGAGTCAGTTACAAGATATAAAACTATATTGACTAGATGTAAAATTGTATGTAGAACAATTTTACTCAAGCAGCCAAAGGTAGTTTACTTAATAGAATTTTAAGATATTATAAGTTTTTTTCAAGAGAATTTGGTACAAGTGATCATCGGAAAGAGTTAGTGATTTTAGTTATTCTACTAGATATTGTTAATCTGTATTCTTTCAAATTAATTTTCTCAAATTCTACTCTTTTCTACTATCAACTTTACTTGCAAAAGTCAAAAAAAAAGCTACAATATAAAATATCTATTGACTACAAAGAAATTCTAGTACTCTTCCAACTTTATTCTCTTTTATATCATACTAATCCTTTACATAGATTAAAATTTAAAATTTTAACAAGATTTCAGTAAACAATTAGTAGAATATCAGATTTTTTTTAGCCAATAGCTATCAGATACTTGGCACATATTACCTACTTATTAGATAGATATTGCTTTTGATAGACCTATCAGATATCAGATACTTCTATCATAAAATATCAAATATTTGATATTTTATAATAGAAGTATCTGATATTTGATAAGCTTATCAAAAACAATATCTATCTAATAAGTAGGTAATATGTGCCAAGTATCTGATAGCTATTGGCTAAAAAATATCTGATATTCTACTGATAGCTCACAATAGATAAAAATTCCTGAAACCCCGAAACGTACAGTATAATCCGAAACTTATACTGGTTATCCGAAACTTTTTAACACCTATGATTGGGTGTTATGCGTCACATGATAATCAGTGAACAATCGGTTCCTAAAGGTTCCGGTATAAATAATAAACAGGTATTAAAATACGAGTGTGATCGAGCAAAAAATTTTTAGCAAATATAAAAAATCTGACATGATATTAATGTGCTGTAAATAAATGCATATAATGCATTATTAGAGTTTCGGATGAGAGTTTTAAGTTTCAGAAGAGGTTTCATATTTTGGGAGAGGTTTCTAGTTTCGGGAAAGGTTTCGGAAAGTATAATCCGAAACCCGAAACTTTAGGATTTTAGCAAAAAGGTTTAGGATAACAAGTATAATCTCGACCTGTTTTTTTCTTTATTCTTTTGTTAAAGTGAGAAGCGATATAAACTAATTAAGTTTACGAATATGATGTAATTTAATTGGTTGATTGTCAAATGCCTCACAATTAGCCAATAATAACGTGTTATTCAATTTCATGTGACGACCAATCACGAGAAAGTTACCCTATCGCTATATGATCAGCCCATATGTTGTGCACTACGTTCATTGTTTGTGCACATGACTGTATGAATTTTATTGGTTATTAGCATGTCACACATAATATATTACTTGTTTATTGTTAGACAACTATCGTAATTAACTTAAACTTAGTTTGAAAACATTGATCAAAAGGACTATTTATAACTTGTATTCTTTTCCTATAGATCAACAGTTCATTTTCGTAATAATAATTTAGACAATGGATGAGATCGAATATGCTTCAGATTCAGGGCACGGCTATGATCGCAGTTTAACAATACAAACGGAATCAATATACGAATACGAACGCTATTTAGGAGCTACTGAAGGGATAGCTTTCAACATAAATAGTATTATCGGAAGTGGTATGTGACGTAAAAAGGATCTATTTTCCACTCTCTCCCATTGATAAAAGTTGGAGAAAGTATTGCATCACTTCAAATTTTCATATTTTCAGTAAATTTAAATCACAAAATTTTGCTTAGCTAAAAATAAAGATAATTCAATCAGGATCTGGCTAATTTTATTCTTAAGGACATTTTTAAATCCTCGAAACTTGCAAAATTATCGAGTATGCTTAAAATAAAAATTATTCAGGTTTTTGTTATTTAAAATTTAAATCACTATTAGATTTAATTAGGAAATCAAAAATAATGCACCAGCGAAAGTAGATAAATTATAATCTAGCTTAGAAACATGCAATTTAATTGCAATATACAGTAATTTTAGTGTTGGTTAGTATTGGTTTAGACGAACTAAAAAAAAACTTACCATTAGTGAAATATGCAAATTTGACAACTTAAAGTCAGGTGATGCAGTATTTTCACTGCCACTATGTTTGTTATACGCGACGTTCCTTATTACATTTTGTATCTAATCAGGAATTTTTCTAACGCCTGGTAACGTGTGGAGACTGACTAAATCTCCGGGAGCCGCTTTATTGTTTTGGATTGTCGGAGGTCTTATTAGTCTACTTGGCAGTTTAATTTATGCTGAGGTATAAATAATTTACTTGATCAAAATATGTGGCTTTGGGATGTTTTAAAATTTGATCTTTAAATAAATATATCTCATGATCTAGAAATTGTAAACAAATAATTTT